CGCCTCTGAACGTAGAGCTTACTCTGTTGTAAGCAATCAACCACGCACGCAGAGGTCGTTTGGCTGTCAGTCCTTCTCTTGTCAGGTTTGTCCTGAGTGTCCTAGGCTGTGCTTGGGTTGGCAAGAAAAAGCCATCAACTATGCTTTGCTGTTTTCCCCATCAAGTTTAGGGGAACCACCTTTGGGGCTTTTCTGGTTTGCGTCACACTATTGAATGTGCTGCCTCCTAAATCCAGGTTACCTCTGGAACCTCCAAGTGAAACTGCAGCCCATAGTAAACCTCTTGCCAGATAAAGGAAGACTCATGGACTTTCTCCTCCAGAGGAAGGAATGCAAGATGGTCATCCTGTCTGTCTGTTCACAGAGTGAGTGCATGACTCCTTCCCTCGCTGTTCTGAATCCAGGGTTAGGCCAACACCTTTTATGTGGGAGGGGCCACATGTTTATGCCTCATCCATAGCCTGCAACCTCATTCCTCACTTGAAGGGTGGATTATTTAACCCCTTTGGAAGGCTGCTAAACATAAAAATGACTTGTAGGGGCTGGCCTGGTGGTGTAGTGGTTAAGTTTGCGCACTCTGCTTTGGTGGCCTGGCTTCGGATCCTGGGCATGGACCTACACGCTGCTCGTCAAGCCATGCTGTGGTGGCGTCCCACATACAAAGTGGAGGAAGACTGGCACAGATGTTAGCTCAGGGACCATCTTCCTCAGCAAAAAAAAACACAAGACTTGTAGAAAAGACTAAACAGGATGGTTCCAGGTGAAAGCAAACCTCAACATGGGCACACATGAGGATTGGGGGCTTCCGTCCCCAGCTTTCAGAGAAACATTTGTGAATCTGAGTCCCTCACCGCATGGTACCTACCTGGACAATCTACTGATACCTGCCATAGCTATTGTTTCTAGTAACCAGAAAGGGCCTGTAAGTGATTTCTAGGCTTCGGGTCTCTGTACCATTTCTCTGAATACCTTTTCAAGGTGTGTTTGCACCAGTAACCCTTTGAGATTGGTTTTTCAGTCATAGCAACATGTTTAAGTTCTGAAGTCAACATAAAGTCGGTTGACGTGTGTGAACCTTAACTCTTTCTAGTGTTGAGTGAGTCGGACAGAGCAACACTGCCTGTGGTAGCCACTGTGTTTGACAAACTCAATCACGAGTATAAAAAGTACCTGGACGCCGAGCAGAGTTATACGATGGTGAGTTCCATGTGCTGTGATGAAGGGCTCTGGGAGCCAGAGGGCAAGGTTGCCATGGGGGAGCAGTAATTCAGAGTCCTGCATCCCATTAGCTTGAGGCTGTGTCTCACTTAATGCCTTCACCTTTCACCTTTTTTTGTTGTTTTTAATCTGTTTGTTCTTACACGTAGATAGATCGTTGGTCTTACCTCTATTTTATAGATAAAATTGGTCTCAGCTTTGCATTATTTTATATATCTTTCTGCCACACCAGAGACTAGGCTTAGTAAATTAGAAATATAATCATTTTGCTGCATCTTGTTCCTTTCCTGTCAGGATGTAATAGCTATAAAGATAAGAGTTGTCCTGGGGTCCAGTCGGTAACCTGTTAGTGATGATGAACTATTAGCACTGTTTTTTTCATTGAGTAGGCTCAAATGTTTGTTGTGAAGGGGTGGAAAAAATTCACATGACTTATTACCAGGTTCTGCTATACTGTTTGTACATCATATCTTCTGAAGCTAGAAAGAAAAAAGTTTAGGACAAATGGAATGAATTATTTCCCTTTAAAGATCTGATTAGTCCTAAGGTTAAAAATGCAAGTGGTTTTAAACAACAGAAAACCCAGAACTCCGCTCGCCTTTAGCTACTGGAGGATAATAGGCCTGACGGGGGCTGCTAAAGGCCGTGTGACCTCAGAGCACAGGTGTCCCTGTCCTTTGTTAGACATGGGGGTGGTGCTGAGCTCTTCTGGGCCCTTCTCTGTCCCGCTGCTAATATATTGGACTGTGGGAATCTGCATACCTGATCCCAGGCGGCAGTTTCTGTGCATCTGTACTCAGTGGCTCTTAGGCTTCATAAACCCTTGCTAGTCAAGAATGTGGTTCACCGTCTGCAACACTGGAGCCCCTGGAGCTTCTCAGGAACGCGGGTTCTCAGACTGTCCCACAGCCCCTGCGGGACCCGCACTGGTCTGAACTGCTCCCCACGCTAGGTGAGGTCGTCAGGGTCTTCTCACCAAGCTCTCCTATTCAGTACTTGGGCAGCTCTTGCTTACCATTTAAAACCCACACACAGACACATTACAAGAGGTATGCACTTATTTAAGACCAGGGCTTTGTAAAACAAAGATGCAGCAGGCCATTTTGTTTTTATTAGATAACAAATGCCAGACAGTCTGTGATTGAGGAAATTAGGGTGTTTAAGAGGTTAAAAAAAAGTATGTCTCTCAAGAGAAGACTATGACTTTTTTAGTTCCGTCCACTATGAACATTGGCATATTTTCAAGATGACCAACTCTGACTTCCTAACTGCCCCCCAGTGAGCACAGGAAAAATAGTTTTGTCCAAGTAGTGAAATAAGTGTCATCCCCTGCTCAAGTCAGGTTCACAGCCTCTAGGAATTGTCTTTGGATTAACTGTCAGTACACTGTTATCTACATAAGGATTAAGATCACATTTGTAATCGACTGTTAGGCGGTAGAAACGGGGCAGAGCCGGAGCAGTCCACTTCTCAGAAGGCCAGTGCGGACACAAGCTGTGGTTGACCAGTCTGACATGTACACCCACGTCCTGTCAGCGTTCACGGAAAAGAAGGTAGGTGACAGCTCGTCAGCCTCTTCTGGACCAAGGATTCTCAAAACAAAGATCTATTTGAAGGGAATTGAGGAAAACTAGGAGAACTCACAAGGTGATCAGAATAACTGGAGTTACCTGGGGAGAGGACCGCACACTAGCAGTTTGGGTTCTAATCCTCAGGCCTAAGCATGATCATCGATGGGGGAGGTTCTGGAGGGATTTGTGCAAAACCAGCAAAACAGAACACTGGGCTGGCTTATATGGAAGCAAGTGGTGGTGGATAAACGAGGAATTACACATAGCCTCCTTTGCAACTCCTTTCTGTTTCTGAGACCACTTGTTTTCCTCTGTAGGACATGCCTCATAAATTTGTGATCGCCGTCCTGATGGAATACATTCGCTCCCTCAACCAGTTTCAGATCACAGTACAGGTACCTTCAGCTCAGCTCCTGTTGTCCCGAGTTACAGGAGCAGGGAATTTTTTTAGAAATAAAAGTACTGTCAATATCTTAACCAAGATGACTATCTTTTATCTGCTGAAAGGGTCTGCAGACCTGACTGAGAACTCTTGAGTGACTTTCCTGAGCTTAACACGTTTCTTCGGTGGAATGAGTAGCATCCTGTCAAGTTGGGTTCTTTCACTTGCACACTGAAACCACCTCTCTCAATAACAGAAACCCTCGCCCGTCAGTCAGAATAGCTCTGTCCCCGACAAACCCAGCCTGCAGTCTGCTGTAGGTGAGCGATTTGGAACCAGTCTTCCTTCTGTTTTTGTCCTCAGCATTACTTGCACGAACTTGTCATCAAGACGCTCGTCCAGCACAACCTCTTCTCTATGCTGCATCAGTTCCTGCAGTACCACGTTCTCAGTGACTCCAAGCCTTTGGTATGTTTCACCACATTTTTACTTTTGTGATTAAAAACTTAAATTTTAACATCTTATGCTGAAGCTTGTCTGAAAATTTATCTTTAGGCTTGTCTGTTATTATCCCTGGAGAGTTTTTATCCTCCTGCTCATCAGCTGTCTCTGGACATGTTGAAGGTAACTGACACATCACAGTTTGAACTGCATAAGTCGGTTCCTGTTGCTAGCGTTTATCTGGAGTTTTCTTTTTCTCCCTTACTTCAGCGACTTTCGACAGCAAATGATGAAATAGTAGAAGTTCTTCTTTCCAAACATCAAGTGTTGGCTGCCTTAAGGTTTATCCGGGGCATTGGTGGTCATGACAACATTTCTGCACGAAAATTTTTAGATGCTGCGAAGCAGACTGAAGACAACATGCTTTTCTACACTATATTCCGGTTTTTTGAACAGCGAAACCAGCGTTTGCGAGGGAACCCTAATTTCACACCAGGTGAGAATACAGCAGCAGTGGAGAGACCTGGGGCAACCACAGACTGAGACGGTAGCAGAACACGGCAGCTGGTGGTGGTGAAGCTTAGGAGAAGCCTTTTAGTCATGAGAACTCCTAGGCTATTAGCATTTTTAAAAACAAAATTTCAGAGGCCGGCCCAGTGGTGTAGCGGTTCAATTCGCATGCTCTGCTTTGGCAGTCTGGGGTTCACCGGTTTGGATCCTGGGCACGGACCTACTCACTGCTCATCAAGCCATGCTTAGGTGGCGTCCCACATAGAAGGGCTACAATTCTACAACTATGGCACACAACCATGTACTGGGGCTTTGGGGAGAAAAAAAGAGGAAGATTGGCAACAGATGTTAGCACAGGGTCAATCGTCCTCAAAAAAAAAAAAAAAAATTTCGTAACAGCCCACCTAACCCTTAGCCCAGGCTCTGTGGGGAGTGAATTCAGTCTGCTGACAAGCCAAGTCATGCCCTGGAACTCACAGTGGGGGTGTGTTTTGGGTAGAGTCATGCTGGGCACAGCTTATGCCTGATAGCTGATCCTGGAATGTCCCTTCTGAAGAATCAGGAACAAGCCAGGAAATGGTGGCTAAGGGTTATAAATGGCCTGGGGCTTAGAAGGCTTCAGTTTCAGGCAGCAAACAGTGGCTAATCACTCTCTCCAAAGTTATGAAATCTGAAGCACCTCTTCCTCAGGATAGTGAAGGAACATGTAACGATTTCGAGCTTAATTAATTTGTGTCAGTGCCAGATGGCATTTACTACCATGGCAGGTCAGCTTCTCTCCTCGTCTCACAGCAGACCGAGTTGCTGGGGCCTGTGAAAGTACCTGACCAGTTTTGCAATGGCGTGAGCTGTGTACATAAAAAGGACAACTCAAAAGCTTAGGAAAAAAATATTTTATGAAAGAAAAATAAGTTAAAACCGAGTATACACATCTCTTGGTTTCCTCTTTTCGTGGCACATCTAATGGATTAAATCTGTATTTTCCTTTATAGGCGAACACTGTGAAGAACATGTTGCTTTTTTCAAACAGGTTTTTGGAGACCAAGCTCTAATGAGGCCTACAACATTCTGAAATCACTTGCTAGTTTTTTTATATATATAAAAATGTGTACAAAGTTAATTTATTGCATTAATAAAGCTCTTTAAACAACAAAATGTTATAATAAAGTATCTACAACATCCTCAAATGTTACTAAAAATATGGTATAGAACTTGTGATGGCTTACTCCTGAAAAAAAAAAAAAAGGAAACCCTTCATTGACTGGCCTTTAAGAAGTGTCAGTGAGCAGATGACATTCACAGCCATGCTGGTGTCACCTTCCCCTTGCCAAAGACTTAGGGTTCATTCCTGGAGAACTGGGAGACGCTTTAGTGTTCTGGGGTGCCTTCAGATTTAGTAATAGTGCTTCAGAAGTCAGACGTGCATTCCTGAGTTGAAAAGCGCTATGGCTGAAGCTGCTGCTGTTAAAGAGCCTGATGTTTGGAAATATCCCGTGTTCAATTTAGCCTTGACAAGGCAGCTACTGTCCAGCAGTACACTGACCAGCCCGCAGACACAGTTCAGAGTCCCCAAACCCCGGAAGAGGGCTAGAAATTTAGGAGTCGCTCTCGTTCTGTACCTTTGTACTGCTCTTGAGTGGCCAAACTTTTGGCTTTATTTATTGATGGTCCTGTGAGGGATAAAAAGAATAATTTTTGTATCATTTGTTCAAAATGATATTTTGAAGAAAGAGAAAAGGAGATAATTTGTACTGTAACAGAACTACCCTTTCTATCCCCGAGGTTAAAAAAAGCCCAAACCCCTCATTTTCTCATGCTGTTTCAGTGCTTCAACTTCATTACAAAGCTGTAAATGAGGCAAGTTAGTACGGTTCTCCTGTCCACGATAGGTCATTTATGGAAGTGTAGAGGCCAGAGTAAAAGATCACAAGGACAGTCTCAAACTAAGAGATGAAGAGCCAAGGTAGCGTGTGCTAGAACAGGAGATGAGGGAACCGAAAGCTGTCCTACAGCCCCGCAGGGCTGGGACCTGGTGTTGAGTCACTCAGGGCCACTCATCTCTCAGTAGCAGGGCGGAGCCGCCGGGCTGCTGACATTCAGACTCATTCCTGGTCTGACTTCAGGGCCTTGTTCAGCAGACAAGTCAGGCCTCCAGAAAAGCGTCAGCAGTTGACAGATGAAGTAGTTTGGACAATCATGAAGTCCCTGGATAGGATATTTTCTCTTAGAGATCTTTTTACTCAGTACTATTTATCAAATGACCATTAAAGTTCAAATACTGCAAAAGAATGCTTCAAGATATCATAATTTTCCTTTAGTATCATGCTTCCTCCACCCCACTCATTTAAAAATAAGAACTCTTACCTATATAACTGAGTAAGACAGGGAGGAATATTAACCCATGAGTGGCTCCCAGTAAGACCATAGCTAAATACATCCTGAAGTAAAATATCTGGAAAATCTGAGATTTGGCAAAGGCCAACACCACAATCCCTCCAAATTTTGTTAGTGTGATTCCACTGAATACCTAAAGGAAGAGAGAGAGGGTTAGAAACCACTTTTGTCAGCCCACTATAATTGAACACTTTCTCACATAGAAATTTCTTAATAGTCAAGGTCCAAAGTAATGCAAGACTGAACCCCAGCTCAGAGTTATTAAGTAGCATTGTGTTCTACCTAAAGTTGTTTTATTTGCTGCTTATTAGCCTGAAAAAAGAGGGATTATAAAGGTAAAAGCTGTGTATTCTACATGGACACTGTGTTCTGTCCCTAAACTGAGATATTTCTTTATATTCTCAGATGAAAACCATCTTAAGTATCCAAAATTGTTACAAAACAAAGTTTAATTGTTACTCCGTGACAATATTTCTATAGTGGTAAAGTAACTGGTTGATGGGCTAAACTAGGATAGAGTTGAACTAGGGATTCTCCTGACCTGAAATACCAACTGCACCCTGGGCTCTGAGTTGGGAAGGGGCCGTGCTTTCAGCACATGGCTGGCCTGTGTTCTAAATGGAACAGGCTTCCTGCTCTCTCAAACCCAACTTCTCTGTTCTTTTCCTGCTTCAGCCACACTGCCACTTACAAAGGATTCACCAACAGTTCAGGATATAGCTCTATGCAAGAAAACAGCTATTTCATGAATTGCCTGGAAACTTGTAATCCTTAGAAACTGCTGCTAAGTAAAGGATCCAAATTCTGTTTTCCCCACTGAATTTTAAAGTTCTTTCTCTGAGAAACAGTCAGTCGGTGAGCTGAGCACTTGATGCTGAAACTTCTGCCCCCTCATCCTGCTCAGGCTACTCACAGAACTGCCCATGTGCGAGACTGCCTCTTCTGCGCGTTCCACGCGGCTTCCCTTCGCACTCACTGTGAACGCTCTCGTTATGTGGCTGCAGAATTCCACGGAAATGCCACAGCTCTGAAATAAAGTGCTTCCTTTACAAAGACTGCTCTTTTCCAGTTGAAAATCATAAGCAGCCACCCCTTTCCCAGGATCTGTGGTTACCGAGGCACGCTGGGTCAGGTGGGGGAGCCCTAAGCATCCCCTTTAACTTATAAGAGAAAGCCCATCACACCAACTTAAATTGTACCAGGAGACTTGTGGAACCCTCTGGGCACAGCCCAATGCTCCAGTTTTCTACAGCAGATTTGCCTTTATTAAGGGAATTTGTTGCAACCTCATAAGGTTACCCGCCCCCACAGAGCCAGCACACTCGTCAGTTCTAGCGGGGCCTCACGGCCACTCCACCTGAAGCAGCGCCCATTTCTGAAGCACAGATGCACCGTATCTACTTTCTGTTAATACTCTCTCAAATGCTCACATCTTCAAGACTTTAACAATTAAAAAGCACCTGGCAAGTGCATGGGAGGCAAAAGGTACCGATCAGAGAATTCCATCGGGAAGGGGCAATTTTTCTCAATAAAAAGCGCACATCTTGCTGTTATTAGGCTACGTGTTTCTGCAAACCCTTCAGAATAATAAGTTAAAGGCAGAATACCCAAGCTAGACCACGAAGTCACAGTTTCATTGTGAAGGCACCACCCACGTCCCAACTCCACCTAACACTCATCCTGTCTGTCCGTGCGCACCAAGAGCAGAAGCTGGACTTGGTCTTTCACCCCAAGAAACAATGCACATAAGTGACAGAGGAGTTAGGGACAAAGTGAGTGGACCAAGACTCACCATCACCAAGTTGACCAAAGACACTGCGTTCAGACTGATACCCCACAGCCACATGACGCCAAACATGTTGATCAAGATCATGGTGATGGTGACACACATGATCACTGCAGACCACAGTTCACAGCCCAGGAGAACCATGGTCACCAACAAGATGGCGCCCAGGGACACGCCAAGGTTCAAGATCGTGTCGTCAACAATGGTCAAGTACTGCTCGTAGAAGACATAGAACACACTGGAGAGGAGGGAGAAGGTTCTGTTACAGCTTGTTCTTGATTCTGGAAGCTCTACTTTCCATCTTGCTACTACTGCAAAACTGTGAAACTACTCTGAGAGACATCCCTTGCATAAAACCTCCCTGTTTTTTATAGGCTACATCTACAGTAATTCAACTGGACCTTCGATCACTGACACCTTTGGGGCCTAATAATGATCCAAAATGTGTATATATTTTTGTGTGTGTGAGGAAGATTAGCCCTGAGCTAACATCCAATGCCAATCTTCCCCTTGTTTGCCGAGGAAGACTGGCCCTGGGCTAACATCCATGCCCATCTTTCTCTACTTTATATGGGACGCCACCACAGCATGGCTTGACCAGCGGCGTGTCTGGGATCTGAACCCAGGCCGCTGAAGCGGAGCGCGTGCAGTTAACTGCTATGCCACCAGGCCGGCCCCCAAAATGTGTATTTTATATAAAGTTTTTGTCCATAAGCCCAATCTATTCCACTTTATAGGTATTTACAAAGACTATCCCATGGTATTCTGAAAAAACAAGTCCTGACCTATCCTGAGAACCACCTGAGGCCAAATGAGGTCTATGCATGGCCTAGGAGAAAATGCTTTTTTGGCAAAGATAATCAGCTCTTCCCAGGAATTAGGGCACCCACTCTAAGAACTTCTTTCACGCAAAAACAGGCTGTCCTCCTGCCAGGAACAGGTCAGGACTCCTTTGAGTGAGATCACAGGGGTGAGGGAAAAAAACCACTTGTTTCTTCTACTTTTCTATATTTTCCCAATTCAGTAAATACTGAAATTTACCAAATAAAATACTTTCGTTATAAGGAAAAAACCCCACTAAATGAAAAAGAAAAATCTCCATAAAGGCACTGTCCCGAGTAATCAGAGTCAGGGATACCCATCAGTTACCAGCCAGGAACATCAGCTCAGCCCCTCTCTTCAAAGCCTGGTCTCCAGGCATTGCCCACTACCCTGGGTGCCACTGTGTACTGTCTCAGACTGTGAGCTCCAGCCCCAACATCAAGGTTGTCTCTCCAGCACTCGCACCTCGGTAGGTGCTCCGGATTCTGGTCCTCCTCACCCAGATACTACTTCCCTCAGTGTGTTTTGCCTGTGCTCACGATGGAGGCGTCAGAATGAAAGCTGAGTACCAGCGCCCAGCCAGGGTGGGGCCCTTCTGCAGGACACCCTCATTTATACAGAGCCCACTTCACCTGTACGGGAACACACGGTAATTGCTGCCTTTGAGGCCCATGGTTTTGGTGATGTTCCCGGCGATGAGGCGGGCTTTTCTCATGGCGTCAATGAAGTCAGCAGAGGTCTGGAGCACCGTGTGGTAGGTCATGAAGTAAGTGGCTCCAACACCAGTGTCATTGCCGAGGATGTTAACTGCCGAACTATAAGCAGCATGTCCCCTGAGAGAGAACTCCGTGGGGTCAGAAAGACCATGCCTTATGAACTACCCAAAGAATCTGTGTGGTCAAGGCTAAGTGCTGTCATCTGACACCCTGGCTCAGAGGTTGGACCTAGCTATGAACATCAGGGAAAAGGAAGGCCCCGTGAATTTGGGACGATGAAGGTTTTAGCTTATTCTCTCCCACGCTGGCTTTTCTTTACTGCTTTTGGCTTCTTGGGTGTGTAGCTGCTATCGTTTCTATAGCTGGTTCTGCTCACAATCAAATGTGTTTTCATACAGACTGTGCTCAACAGTGCTGTGTGACAGGAGGCAGGAAAGGCCGAGGGCCCTGGAGTCAGACAGCTGTGAGACCAGCCTCAACCCTGCCACATACTGGCCATGGAACCCTGGGCAAAGGTACTGAATCTGGGCTACAGGGTCATCTTCTGCACACGGTGTCCACTTCCTGCTCTCAGGGCTGTGTGACGAGTAAGTGAAATAAGGTCAGTGAGGGCCCAGCACGATACTGCCACGTAGGAGGCTCCCCGTAAGTGGTGGCTGTTGCCTTCACTTTGATTTGTTTTAATGTAGGCCAACGCATTCAGTCCGCAAGCAGACCACGCTGCAAGATTCACTTCTATTTTATTTTTAGAGATAGCCTTCCCACGGTACCTAGTATAGGTCTCAAAACACAGACATGACATATGTGACTAACTGATGGGACTCAGGTCAGATTATGTATTCTCAGGAAAAACAGGGATGTCCAGGGTTGACCTAACATACACAAGATATATTCATCTTCCTTCTACAAAAGCTTCCAAATCACCCCACCCCAGACTTCCAGCCATCCTCATTATTTCTGGGCCAGATATCCTGTTTCCATGGGTAACTGGCTGCCTGGCTGGACAGGGGCGTGAGACAACCCATAACCTCATATATGGACAGGTTGGCAAGAAGCACAGTGGGGCTAAAAGAATCTAAACCTTAATCAAGGATGACATTACCAAAGCAGAGATGCTGTCCCAAATGCCCAGACACAAGTGAACAGACCACCTCACATTCTGAAACACCACGTGCTCCTCCTCCTCCTCCACCCTGCTGGCAGCCTGCACAGGACTCTGCATCCATTCATACAGCCAGGAGGGCCAGGACACAGAGGAGCATAAGAAATGAATGCTCAAGCCAGGATGAGATCAGCTGCAAGTCATGAGGCGTTTTCTTTCAAGGTGTTTTAGGTTTCTCTGCTTTCACAGAAGGATGGAGACAGGGTGGAGAGGGGAGGGGGTAGAGAGGAGGACCTTTCCCACACGCCTGTTTCTACCCCTGCCCTCCTCTAGTTGTCCAGTGGGCGCGAATCTGAACAGTCAGTGACACTTACCCTTTGCCACACTTGGGGTTCGGGTTATCGGAAAGGAACATGGGTAGGAATCTCATGAAGTCTCCGCCCTGAGGCCGCTGTTTGCCCTCCAGAGTCAGAGGCCTGCAGCGGATGCAGGCAGGGTCAACCACTAGGAGAAACACAGGGAAGGAGCCAAGGTGAGAAGAATGGATCTCCAGATTTTATTTAAACCATTTAAAAATACTGATAAAGAAATGAGAGGAATTCTTTTCCTGAATCTTTTTTCTTATCCAAAGGCTTCAAACGTGTGATTTTCATAGTCTAGTAAATTTGAGACACCATCTTCATCTCAGGCAGGCTGCACAAATCTTCTAAGGAGGTTTCCTGCTTTAAGGATGACCTCAGTTGGTGCTATCAGAGCCCAGGGTTTTCATGTCTTTATCAAGAAAGCTTGGGCCGGCCCTGTGGCTTGGTGGTTAAGTGCGCGCGCTGCGATGCTGGTGGCCCGGGTTCGGATCCCGGGTGCGCATCGAGGCACCACTTCTCC